ATGGAAGAAGAACATGTTTCATTTAGAACAACTAACTGGATATAATTTACAAAGAAAATAAAAATGCTGCCTTAGGTGAAAATTGTCTATAGAACTTTTGTAGCATGCTGAAAAATCAACTTATCCAACAACGAAGAGTGTGTATTTATGCATCGAATTTACGTGCATAAGGCCTTTCCCCCTTAATTAGAAACCTTGTTTTTAAAAGCTCAGTAAGATTCTTCATCCAAACATGCAACCTCATGAGGTCAGACAGCAACCTCTCCTGAGTCCCAGGCCCCACCCACGAGTTCCCTTAGTCATCTGAAGAGGGCTTAGATGATCCCAGGGACCTCTGTTGTGAGACATTTTGTTTATTCCTGATCTCTGCTGAAGTATTTAACAGAATCTGTTGTGAAGTTTAATGTGTGGTAAGTAGAATTTCCTGAACTGAAAGAGAGGATGAAGGAAGAGCAGTACCAGACAGCATAGAGTATAAGAGGCAAATCTTAAACTGCTATTATGTAAAGAAGCTTTAGGATGCAATTTCATATGTGACTCAAAAAAGTACTAGAATTCCCAGCATCCCCTAGCCATGGTTTTTTTCTTCTGTTTAAGCATGTGGAGGATTGTGCCCATAAATCATGTGAACAAGGAAAGTTAAAATCTTACTTGTTTGGATAAGGATCTTCAGCTGAGGCAATGAGTTGGATTTTTCCTCTCAGAGGCAGATTTTAAGTCTCTCTCGGGGAAAAAAAAACACAACCAGCCAGCTTAGCTGAAAAGTCCTTAAGCAGTACAGTGATTTCTTTTGTCACTAGAGGGTATTATGAAACTTGTCTCTGAGGAGCATTCATTTTCATTAGATCCTGTCTGTAATTATTTTGCTGTCTGCTTTGTGCTATTACAAAGAAAAATACATAGTTACTTTGGAAAATGTCAGTTTGCAAATGAGTAGATAAATTTTTCGTTCTATTTTGTCTTCTCCTTAAAATGTCACTGTGTCACCATCACCACAACCACAACAATAAAATAGCAACATCAAACATTCTTGTTTTAGAAAAAAAGATAAGAAAGGAAGTTTGTACTTTGTTAAAAATGTACTATGCTCTGAACCAATGAAAAGCAGAGGTTTCAATGCGAGGTGCTGCAGTGGCAGATTGCTGCCAAAATGCCTTGCACATCACATTGAATGTTCATAAGACTTGCACGCGCCTGCTACAGAGCAGTAAGATTGTACCCTTGATGTGATATTAACCATGAAACAAGGAGATAAAAATAAATTACATTTAAAATCAAAATACTCTTTTGTTTAAGCTTTTTACCGAACAGCCTAGGAATGTAACTTAGAAAAGTATTATTTCCTAATGGAATGAGTTATCCGAGAAGTTAAAAAGATCTTCCAAGGTCTCACTGAATTTAGTAAAACTGTTTCTCATGAAATACTTTCTATAGATCCCAGTTTTCAACATATGTGCTAAAATGCCATGGAATTTAAAAATCAAGAGGCTTTCAGTTTGGACATAAAGTTAACAAGCAATATATGGAGGCCCAGAGAACATGCTATGCAGCATGTGTGAATCACAAAGCTAAGCAAAAGTTGGTTGTGCACCCAGGACCACAGAAATGAAAGTGAAGAAAGTTGTCCAGTCATGATTTCCTTGGAAGGTATGTATTTATCAGCAAAATGCAACATGATGGCTAACTTTAGCACATGTTTTTCTTCTGTCCTTCCACACAAAAACTAAGAATCCATGAATTCGTTTAATCTACTGCCCTCTCTGGTCTGGCAAGTGCAAAAACTGACAATACTTCCTAAATTTGAATTTAGAGCACAAGGTGAAAAGTCTGAAGGTGCTATGAACTTTCCCAAAGTCTAGTGCAATACTCAGACACTTCCACTTGTCTCTCTTTTCTAAAAGTTGAATAAATGTTAAATAGCTCATACTGATTGGAGTACCAATAAAATATTTTCTATTACTTAGGTTAAAAAGAACAACATAAATAGCATGTAAGCAAACAGTCTTTAAAAAGACAGCCAATAACATTTAATGAATTAGTTAGCATATGGCAAATATAGTGACGTCTAAGTAGACAGTAGTATTAATAGTATTTAAAAATACTATTGCTAATATTTGGGAAACATCTATGTAGTGCCTTCAAATGTTCTAAATGACTTACCTGCAATAGCTCTATAATAATTAGGCTAAGTCTGTAATGTAGACCTGTTTTAATTTTTCCATATTAAAGGTGGGAAAAGCAGGACCAAATATGAAAAAAAATGGTTTGCTTAGTGGTGCTGGTGGAGTTGCTGCTACTAGAAGCCTAGTAGACCTTAGCTACTAAGGTCATTACCAACTCTTGGACAAGTTATGAAAAAGGGAGCAATTTAGTCAATCTGAGTTGTGTTGACATTTACCTTGGTGATGCTGCAATAATTTGTTTATTCGAATATCCCAGATCTTCACTGTGTGATCAGAACCTGCACAAGCTATGCATGTACCATCATGACTGAAGTCCACATAGTTTGCAAATCTACAGGGAAGAATTAGAAATAAGAATTTGTTACTGTTAAATAAACTATCTCATCTCCGTGGTTTGATTAATTGGACTAGGTTTTCTTAATGTGATTACTTTCCATCTCTTCCTTGGGGTTCAGGTCCAGCTACAATTTCATCCTCTCCTTACAATAACGCTCTCACATAGTTCCAGCTATATTACAGAGCTCCATTTGAACCAGGGTCCCCACTCGACAAAAATGCAATACTCTCCCTACTTGCAATCAAGCAGGTTGAGGGTAGAAAATATTGCATCATTACTATCAAAAGAAGGCTATCAACCTGTGGTCCCACTCATACTGATTCAGGGATAGCAATAAATTGCCCTTGTAGAGATTTCTCCTGATATTCACTCTTATACATTTCTATGTACTAGAATTAGTCTTCTCCAATTTGGGTCTGTCTAGAAGTGGACTATAACTCCCATCATCCCTCACCACTGGCCAAGGCAGAGGGAAACTGAAAGCCAAAAAACCCAGAGTGAGTCAGGCTGGGGAAGGCTGTACTAGAACAGCCTTTCTCAGATTGGCACCCTCTAGACACATGGGGTTTCCATTTCTATTAATTCCAGTCAGCATAGCCAACGGTCAGGGATTATGGAAGTTTCAGTTCAAAACTCCTGAAGGAACCATGCTGGCTAGGGATTAGGGTAACTGCATTCTTACACAGCTGGAGGATGCCAGGTTGAGTAAAGACTGCACCAGAGTTTCCCGAACAGAAGATGAGGAGGTGTAATGTTACAACTCTCTCCTTTTCATTAGAAGAACAGCTAAAACAGTGTAGAGTTGTGGGTGGGATGATAGCATCCCACCCACAAAGACACAGCACACTTGCACTAAATCCTAAGCACTTCATATCCCCATCAATGGTAGAACTTGACACCATCTCCAGACCTGCCAATGCAAATTTCTTTTGCTTTCAAAGGAAAACAATTTGAAGAAATAGTTGGCACTGCTGCCCAGGTCACTGCAGCAAGCATAATTAAAGGTTAAGTCAACAATACCATTTGTGTTAACTCTGAACAAGAAGGGAGCATTATGCACAGAGCTTGCCTTAACAAAACTCATGGAAATTTGAGCACGTTGCCTAGATCCTGAACTGAATCTCTCCTTGGGACTCCTGACACAGACACCCAACAGACATGCCCGCTCCACTCTTCAACCTCCTCCCCCAAAATAGTAGCACCATGCATGAATGTGGAAGACAACACCACCTGCAGATAAGATCTTGGCTGGCAAAGGCTAGGCGCTCCTGCTCACCAAACATTCATGAGCAATTATGCTTTGCAGAATCACAATCTGGACAAGTACAGCAAAAAAACCTGTCATCAGTACAAACAAAATTCCACAGAAACTCCAAGGAGAAAGTATATCTACAGTCACTACAGCCTCCCCACTTTCCCACTGGGGAAGAGAAGTGAGGCACAAGTTCTGCCCAAGCACTAAGGCAGCATCATACCGTCTTCTCCTTCTTAAACAGTATTACATTTATAGGGATGTTCCAGCTGCTTTACATTGCTCTGTGCTCTCTATAGTCTTTCTTGCTCTCCCACAGGAACAGGATCCATCCCACATTGTTTCAGGAAGGCCTGGAGTAAAGCTCCCTCCATTACCAGCAGCTATGATCAAGATGTTCCTGGCTGTTCTTCCATGGGGAGATCTAACAGGATCACCAAAGTAAATTATTTATTTTCACCAAGCATGTAGAACTGCTGGGCAAGCCAAGTATAACCATGAAATAAAATGGGAAAAAACAACAAAGCTAAAAGCATCATTGCATCTAATAGACTTAGCGCCATATACTTTGGGGATTCTAACAGACACATTTCAATAGATTCAATTTCCTTGCACTGTATTATTTTATTGCAAGAAGAAGAAAATGACTGCCTTAAATTCAGAGAAAGAGTGGAAATGAATTCTAGCAACCACAAAATAGAATAATCTGCAACTTAACTCAGACAGTGGTAAAAGACCTCCACAATGAATCATATGTTTCACCTCCGTTGATTACCTGTTGATATAACGATTCAAATACAGTTTTGAAATGGTTGCTAAAATGTTTTTCCCTTTTCTTATTAATTGTGCTTACCCATCATGGTCTATTATACTATCAATGCATATCTTGTTCCTCAAATCCCAGATTTTAACAGTTTTATCTTCACTGCATGATACTATTAATCTTCCATCTGGTGAGTATCTAAAAAGAAAATATATTAATTATATTTCTGTACCATCCAATAAACAGAGATCCAACAGTATATAAAATACAATAAAATGCAATATAAAGCACAACATAACACTTAAAATAACAAAATACAATATAAACTTTGAAACCAAATTTTAAAAGCTATACTAGATGTTTATAAAACCATTTGAACAATTAACATAATACTCCGCTTTGCTATAAAACTAATTAAATGCCCTGTCATAGAGGATATTCTTAACCTGGCACCAAAAAGATATTAAAGTTGGCACCAGGTGGGCCTCAGTAGGGAGCTTGTTCCATAACTGGCAGGCCACCACTGAAAAAGCCTTGTTGCCACCAACTGAGCCCCTCTCAATGGTGGCAATCAGAAGCAGGCCCCAGAACTTGATCATAGTTTTTGGCCAGACTGTGGTCGGATTAACATGTGAAGCAGTTTTAAAAGAAGAAAATACCTGCCAGATATGAAAACAAAAGAAACTATTGCATGTCAATATCTAGATGGTAAAACATACAGAAACTCACTTGGCACAGCGTACCCACTGTGTGTGCTGGGATAAAGTAAACAAAAGGCGTTGGCTGTATACACTCCACACTTTTACTGACTTATCATTGGATGCAGTAGCTAGGAACTGACCATCATGTGAAAAGTTCACACTGCGGACTGGTGCAGTATGACCTTTTAATGGTGTGGATTCACCATGACTGTAAATTAAAGAGAAAACAAAATCATATATATTATATATTTCTGCAACAGCATAAAGAGATTAAAATGTTACAATTAATCAATTTTCTCCTCAACTCTAGTTAAAACTTGATTTGTATTGACGAAGGGAAAGCCTTCATTGCTTCAGTACCTTGGCATGCCTCTGTGCAAATTCTGAGAACTTCGGCTCAAAATAACAGGTCTAGCTAGTTTTAGTTAGAAATCTGGCATGAAAAGGATAGCTACTACACCTTGATCCAGAAAGGAGTTAGAAAGTGAGAAGAGACATAGCCTAAGTTTTTTCCAAATTACCTTCTGCTCCTCTTTAGGCTGGCTTTCAATGACCAGCATATATGAGATCATAAAGAATAACTATTTGCACTATTAGTTGATTGGAACAGATTCTATAATCCCAATGTTATTTTTGTACCACTGTATGCCATTCCAATCCCTGTTTATAGCAAGATGCAGCAAGTCACATTTTCAAGCACCTTAATGTTTGACGCACACAAACACACCTGTGACACGCATTGAGGAAAGTATCCTTTGTGCCAAACACTCTGCTCAGCACAGGTAAATTCTTCAGAAGAAGAACAAAGGAAAAAACCATTTCTATTGATACCTCCTCACTAGAAAAGATTAGAAGGAGTACTAAAAAGCCCCAAGTTCAACATAATTCCAACACCAGCACTGCTCACTCACTCAAATAAATAGGAAATCTTTAATTTTAATTAGTACTTACATACAGGGAATCCATAGCCTGGCTGTCCAGTCTTGAGAAGCAGATGCCAGCAGGTGCCCATCTGGTGAGAACTGTATGCTAGTTACACCTTCTAAATGACCCACAAATCTGAAGGCTTTGGCATTTGGCTTCAAATTCCAAATCATAAGAAATTTATCCAAAGAAGAGGTGGCTGACAAGAAATAATGAGGCTATAAGAATCCACAAATAAAAGTACTGTTTCCATCTTTTACAATGCATCATTTTATTCTAACATAAAGGTCAAAAGTCTCCATTATTTTATGACCAATTTCATGAGCTAATGTAGAAATAAGACACAGAACCAGTTTAGATGGCACAACAACCCAGGATTTCTTGAAACCCTGGGCTGTGAATAAAGTGGGAATGAGTGAGCATGCTGGTATAACAATGTACTATTTCTCCTCCAACAATCCAGAAATCTCTCTTCACACTTCATGCTAAGGGACAGAGGGATTCCTTATACTCAGTGAGAATGAATGGGCAAAAGGAACCAATACAGAGGTATTTCCTGGGTTAAAGATAAGTTCCATTCCTGAGAATGTCCTTAAGTTGAATTTGCATAAAATTCAGATCACACGAGTAAGTCAAATGTTTGTCTTAGTATATGTATACATTTTATATTTCTATGCATATAAAACACTTAAAAATCACTTCCATACTTGCTAAAATATCTTTAACACAATACAACATTGTAATAATATTAATAGTAATACATAACTAAAGTAACTACAGGTATTAAAGACAGAGAGAAAGAGAATCTGAATGTACAGTATGTGTGTATGGATGTATACAGTACTGAAAAAAATAATGTAACTTGCCTCTAATGCATGGCTTAATGTATGTTTGAGCTTCACTGTCTGTCCATCTTTAATTTTAATGTAAATTCAATAGAAAATAATTTAGAACTTTAAAAATGACATAACCAGTTCCTCATTATCTTCCAAAGCTCTCTGATAATGAGCTGCTAGAGTAATATAGTCCAGAACCTGCTTATTATATCCAAAACTTTAATTCATGGCAAATTGGCTAAGCATTTGTTGAGCTTCCTGTTCTAGTTCCTGATGGAGCACAAGGTGTATATGGAAGAGGGAGCAAAGGTGTTGAAGAGCTTGTTGGAGAAGCTAAAAACATTTGGCCTGAGGAAATGAATTCCCATGACTATCTCTAGGGAACTATGTGGCCAGTGAGAGACACCCCACAGCATTCCCAGACTGCAAATAAGCAATCTATCCTTCATTCTGGATACTACTAGGTGGTGGTAAAGTATACTTCATTTGCTGCTGCCCAGGTACATTCCCACAGTAATTAGAGGGAATAAAGCACTTTCATTCCTATGATTGATTTTATACTGACTATAGTTAGTTGTTTTTTGGTTTCAGAAGACAGACAAATATAAATACACTACAGAATATATTTTTAACTACATGAATCTCTAGTGCCTCCAGAAACACATAAAAAGATGGATTTCTACATGATATGCTAGAGTCTCTTGTCACAAACACACAAGCTCTCTCTCAGTAGTCATTCACACAAAATCACATGCAAAAAACACTGTCTTCTGACTCTTCCGCAAGTTGTCTCATCCCTAAAATATCTAGTTCTCTAGTTCTGTTCATCATACCAGTCAGACCAAAAATAAAATACAGTCTATGATTTCCTATAAACCTATGCACTCTGTTCTGTCCTTCGATAAGAAAAAAAGACCATGGAAACAAACTGGATTCATATTACAAAAATCAAAATACATAAAGTACAATCACATTATCTGTGAAATAATCAAACATCCACCAAAGGGAAGTGTTACCCTCCTACCTCAACTACACTGGATCTGTAGCCTATTCTACTATGAGGTAGAATGAACAAATGAAGCCATATTCTAACTTTCTAACTGCAGAACATATTTTGCTTTGACAAAAGGGATGTGATTATGCTAAAATAATCTTCAACTCTAAAGCTGAACTCAGAGACAATTAAGAGAACAAAAGTAACTCAGGGCAGCATCCTGAGCCTTCCTGCCTCAGCTTTGCACATTTCCTCCTAGCAAAAGCTCAATAAATAACATTTGTGACAGAAAAACAGCTGAAGGTTTTGTTTTTTTCTCAATGGCAATACCAACCAGAGACCATACAAATCCTTTGCTCATATACACTTCAAAAAGACTTACCAAGCGCTTTAGTAGTTGGACTGAAGTCAACACAAGTGACCACATCTTTATGACCTTTAAAATGACGTACCAGGATAGGATCTTCCTAGCAGAAAAAATGCAGATTACTGTTTTGAAACTTTATTTTAAAGTTACATAATATGATACAGCAATACATTAACAGAATCAATAATGCCACATTTTATGAAATGCCACAATAAATCTTATAGATCTTAAAGAACCACAAGACTCATTCAGCCTCACAGAGTAAAGCATTTTTACTGCTTGTTATATAAATTGCTAATCTAGGAGGGTCCACAATATTTGCTCTGCCATATATGCAAGCTGAACCAAAACTCTTTTGAGCAAAATATTCTCTCATTAGGGTGCAATCTTAAAGCTTTGCTAGCTTATCTGGCAGCAAATCACATACAATTTGATGGACCTTATTAAACTCAGTGATTAGACACTGCACTTCGGCAGAACAACCCTAGATCCCCTAGAGAACACCAAGGGAACATAAGCTTGTTTATATTCCCAGCACTAAGGCTGGAGACACCACTTTGAAAATGGAGTGGGCATCTGGGCTAAATGGTCTGCCTCAATATAAGGTAGTTTCCTACACTTCCTCCAAAATAAGCACGTTTGCTTATTTGTTTTACCACCATAATGCTGTGTCAACTAACTTGGAAGTCACGCTAAAATCCAGGGAGCCTACTTCTGAGCAATCAAGTATATGATTGTAGTGTAGGCTCAAATACCCTGGTTTCATAATACCTTCTATTTAAATATTACAAAGGTTTCGGCAAGCTTTGGAATTCTCCAAATATCAGGGTGGATATTAAGCCGCCCCGAGGCTTCGGCGAATGGGGCAGCCTAGAAATTTTCTAAATAAATAAAATAAAACTATTAAACAAAACATGCCTCTAGTTTCAATAGCATTACATAAACCACTACAACAAGGTTCATCTAAAATGCAACATAGACAGACTTAAAGCAAATGATAGAGGGGGAAGCACTGGGAAAAAGTCGTTCATGGTACTGTTGCCCCAAAGCCTGCAGTTGTACAAGCATCCAGTTGCTATAAACTCCGAAGCCTAATGCCTGTAACAAACCTGTCCTGCACCTAGTGAGGTCAGCCAATCCCATTTGCATCGCTCTTCGTGCACTTCCTGTAGTTAAGACAGCTACAAAGTGTAGCCCATTCTTCTCCATCTCGGCCATGTTGTAATCCAAAGCACGCCAGGTTGGCGATGGCTACCGGACCTAGAAGCTCGCTCCCCCTTTTTGGGCGGTTTGCTTGGGCCTAGCAAGGTTACAATGATCAACTCCCGGGAAGGCTCCGAATAACTGCCCAATTAATCGTACATGCGTCGCCTGTGGACTCAAAAGCAAGAAGCCTCACAGGGCGTTTTCCACGTTCGCAGGACGGCGGCCTCGGGCCTTCCTCCAGTGTTATGTGGACGCTTAGGCAGTCGCACGAACCAGCGACGACGAGAAAGGCGCGCGACAGAACCCCGGGTGGCCCCGCCACCGGCACAGGCCCCCCACGCGTCGCTCTCGGGGGACTCCCTCGCCCGCCCTGCGCCTACCAGAACTGCCGCCGCCATGGGGATCCCGGGCAAAGACAGCGGGAAATTCTTGTCACTCCGCCGGCTTCCACGGCCCGGTCAAAAGCCCCGCGCTCCAGGCCATGTCAGTCACGCCCACACCTCGCCCCGGGCGCCGGGACAAACGGCTGTTGAGCGGCGCTTAGCCTGGCGGAGGCGGAGCAAACAAGACTGGCTCCGCCCAACTCTCATTCACGGACAGACTCAGCCAATGGCCTTCGAATCACCCGCAAGAAATTTCAGAGTGACGGAAGCTGGGGGTGTTGCCTAGCAACGGCGCAACTTCCTACTCTCCTGTCCGGGGCATTGGGCTGTGCATCGAGTCGAAACCCGGACGAAACGGCCCTTGGGCGGTCGTGTTTGAGGCGGAAAAGCCACCATAGCTCGAGGCAAAGGGGAGAGGTGAAAGCAGCTATCCCCCTGAATACCGCCCCATCCTTTTTATTCAGCCTTACTATAGTTGGAACGTTTTACTGCTGTAATACTTTTCATTATGTAAAGTTTTTACTGTTTTATAAATCGTACAGGGTCTTGAAGGCTTTTTTTTGGCAATAAGGGGTGAAGAAATGTTAGCAAGTAAATAAAATGACTGTGTTAGAATGCTTATGGCACCTTAAAGACAAAAACATTTATTCTTGTATCAGTTTCATATACACTGTCTATTTCTCCACATGCATGGGATGTTTGCCTCCTACCCCTTCATCATGCATCTGATGAAGGTGACTGGCCCATTATTTTCCATAATTAAGGTGCTAAGGCCTCTTTGTTGTCATAGCAAGTATTAAACCAGCATCTCATGCTGTTGGGCAGTCAGGGAGAATATAAATTTTCTGAACTTGCTGAGAAAGTTGATATTGTCTGTAATAGATTACTATCTGCAAGGACACCATCCAAGAAAAAAAAATTGATCTGGGCTGCCCATTTGTTTAGCTTCTAAACAGCAGATTTGGCTTGGTATAAGAATTGCTTTTAGGGTTCTTGTTATTCTTAAGTACACTTACATCCCTAACCTGAATACATAGAAACAGAGTGAGAAAGAAGGTACCTCCCGGCCATCTAGTCTGACCTCCGGCACCAGCCGGCTCCACTCACGACATGCCCACCATGTGGATGTCCAGCCTATCATTGAACACCCGCACCGATGGGGCCTCAACGACCTCTCACGGAAGCCCATTCCACACCCTCGGGGTCCTGACTGTCAGGAAGTGCTTCCTGGCATCCAAATGGAACCTTGGCTCCCTGAGCTTTGCTCCGTTGGAGCACGTCCTGCCTTCTCTGCAGGGGAGAACAGGTCTCTACCCATCTCCGTGTGACATCCCCTCACATACCTGTAGGTCGCCTACAATATCCCCTCTGAGTCTCTTCTCCTCCAGGCTGAAAAGACCCAGGTTCCTCAGTCTCGCCTCATACCCCATGCCCTGCAAACCGGCCACCAACCTTGTGGCCCTACCCTGCACTGATTCTAACCTGGCTATATCCTTTCTGTAATGAGGGGCCCAAAACTGAGCACAATACTCCAGTTGCGGGCGCACCAGAGTCGTGTAGAGTGGTAATACCTCTCTTGATCTAGAAGCCACACTTCTGGCTATGCAACCAAGGGTGGCGTTTGCCCTCTTGACCACCGCATCACACTGCTGACTCATGTTTAGCCTGCAGTCAACCAGCACCCCT